GCGTATTTTCTAATATTTATATTACTAAATCATGAGAATTTCAATGGTATTTTTAAAGAGTCTTGGTAATATGCAATTATAAACTTTTATAAATTATAATAAAGAAGAGTCTTCAGGTAAAGCATGGGTAAGAAGAGAGTAACTGCATATATTCTGTGGTTTTTCTTTTTCTTTCTTTTTGTCAGAACTCTTCTTTCTAAGGCAATCTCATCAGAAAATTTACTAAATAACTATAATTTTTGAAATTCTGAGTAGGGGCTGGCAGGTGGCATGGTAGTTAAGGGTGAATTCCCAAGTGGCTGACTGCGGTTCGAGTCCTGGACCTGGAGGCTTACTTTCTCATTTTCACTCTCTGTCTCACACTCTGTCCCTCACTGGTCAAATTAAAATAAATAAATAAATAAATAATATTAAATAAAATAATTCTTAAAAAAACAAGTTCTAACTGAAGAGAGGATTCTCTTCAATATCTTCCTAAGATGGAAGGACACTATGGCACACAGCTTAGAGACCTAAACTCTAATTGATACAAAATGAGACCACTCACAATCTGGCAGACTTTTTCTAAATACCCTTATATGGAGAAAAACAAAAGAGAAATTAAATATGATAGAGTTGTTTACAGTTGAAGTTATGAGACTAATTATTCGATCACTAAGAGCTCCTTGACATTTTATTTGAAAAGGCAAACGTAAGTGAAATGAGAAAAAGGAGGTCCACGTACTGAAATAGACTCTCAATTTTTAAAATGTAGCGAAGTCCAGTGGAGGGGGTGGGCAGAGCTATGTGCCAAGTACCAACCCACTGGGCCAGATGGTGCAGCCACAGAACAGGGCACTCTGCCAGGCTGACCCACATGCGAGGGTCCACGTTGGCATCTGGAGGCCTCCTGAGGACACTGGGCATGGAGATGCCGTGGGCCAGGCCTGTCTGGGGGTGCTTTGTGGCACTGAGACCCCATTGGAGGTGTCTCTCTGTTCTCTCTCTGTCTCTGTCTCTTTCACTCATGGAAGAAGTAAGAGATAAACTTAAAAAGAAAGTATGATGCCACACCCTGAATTACCACTGATTTTTAGGGTGTCCTCTCCCACAAGACTGCAGCAGAATGAATATACCTTCTTCAGAAAGGAAGAAAAACCATCTTTGAAATGACAAAAGTAAAACACAGTATTGGGGTAAAACACAGTATTGGTTGCAATGGACTAAATGGTTGAGTCTCCCCAAAATTCATATGTGAGATCCTAACACTCACTGATATTTGGAGGTGGAGCATTTGGGGATAGAATCTTCACAGCTGGAATTAGTGTCCCTATAAGAAGAAGTAGGGGACAATAGGGGGAGAGGGGGGAGAAAGAGGGGGAAACAATACATTTAGTTGACACGGAAATGAAGTTATTTGCTGATGATAATGTGTAAGGTACTGCCTTTGTCTTGGCTGACATGCACTGTATCTGTGCTGGGAAAACCACGTGGTAGGCTGCAAAGATGTGCAGTGACTGAGTGTGAATTACAAGGCAGGGGCAAACCAGCTAGTCCTGTTTCCACCGGAGGAGGACCTAACCCAAGAGAGGGCTCTCACAGAACCTGACCTCACTAGAACCCTTAGCACAGACTTCCAGCCTCCAGAAATGTGTGAAATTAATGTTGTTGTTTAACCCCCCCAGTCAATGGTACTTTGTTATAGCAGCCCAGACTGACCAAGACACCAATAGTGAACTCATAATTTATTCTTCACTGAATGAAAGGATAACTGCTAGCTGTCAAGGACTTTCTCCTCCTCCATTTATAAGGGCATAAATTCAATTACGTCTCTTAGAAGCAATGGTTAAACCACAGGACTAGTGGCAGAACGGGACACCTGAAATCACATGGTGATTGCTAAAAATCTGATATTTTTAGCAATTCAGTCCTGATGTCAGAAAGTAGGTCATTATCTCAGGTGTTACACTTCTTTTAAATCCTGTGTTTTCATCATGCGGTCAAATGAGAAATTGGGGAAAATACATAATTTTGTAAAGATATAAAGAAAATAACAGATATAGCAATTTTTAAAATGGTTTTTGCCACAGGGCATGTGTGCTTGCTGGAGAAAGACAGACACACACACACACACACAGAGAGAGAGAGAGAGAGAGAGAGAGAGAGAGAGAGAGAGAGAGAGAGAGAGAGAGAGAGAGAGAGAGAGAGAGAGAGAGAGAGAGAGAGAGAGAGAGAGAGAGAAAATCACTCCCCAGGGTGGATGGCCATGCCAAAAACTCTTCTCCTCCATTCTCCTCTGGGGATGTTGGACGACCATGCACATCCATTCCTTGTGATTTTCAAGTTGCTGGGTCCAGGACTCAAACTATACTTGGCCATGGGGGAGTCCAGCACTAACTACTACACCCCTTGCTGGTCCCAATAGTTATCATTTTAACATATTATTATATTTATTTCTGAATGTATTATTATGCATTTTATATTGCTGAAGCCACAGTGTATGAATAATTATATATTTTATATATATATAATAAGCTATTATATAAACTTAAAAGTTTCACTATTTCTTTTTATTTTGTTTGGAGAGGTTTTTGCTATAGGGTGCGTGCACTCACCAAACAGAGAGAGACAGAGAGACAGAAAGCGAGAAATCATCCCCCAGGGGGGCGACCATGCTGCAATCCCTTCTCCTCCATTCTCTTCTTGGGATCTTGGGCACGCACGCACACACGCCCAGCGTGAGTTTTTAAGCCACCGGATCCGGGATGCAAACTGATGTTGACTACATGGGAGTCCAGCGACAAAGCCATTATGCTAACTGCTGGTCCCAAAGTTTCACTATTTCTATTTTCCCACAATAATTAAGACATTTTTGTACCCGTTTATTTACTAAATTAATTATATTTCATTGCAAGAGTGGTCTCAACTGGGCTGGACTGAGGTGTATATCATGCTGGGTAAAGTCTCTTCACAATATAAATGATGTATAGCGATTTAATGTGTGAATAATAATAGTAAATATATAAATAAAAAGAAAAGCAATAATAAAGTTTAAAAAAGAAAAACTAACCTAAATAAATAAATAAATAAATAAACAAATAAAATTTCAGTAAATATTTTCATGTTTTTCAACCACGTGCATAAGTTAGAAAGGGAAGGGTTTAAGAAATTTGAAGGCTCACAAAAATATTCTCAAATTGTGTTCAAAATATGTTTTATGAAATTTGCCTCCCATAATAAATGGACAAAGGTAATCATTTTTCATATCTATGCTGAGGATTACTATTTAAAATTACTTGGTAGATTTAAAATGTTCTCATTGTCTTTGATATGCATAATTTGGATGGTGTGACTATGTAAAGATCAAGAAAAAAGGAAGCAGAGCAAAGGGAGAGAATTTTCTGATTGCCAGTATAATACTAAGTGTTATTATAAGTACTAAGACCCATTCGAGGATTTCCAAAGATGTTTTAGAAGGTTACACAGTCAAGAGAGAAAACTGGCAAAAGTCAAGAAAGGTAGGTTAGTACAAACACTTACCTCGCTGTATACTCAACAGGAGTTTGGTACACTCATCTGAATTGAAAGCTGTCTTCTGCAGACCTCGAACTCTTTCCTTATAACCCAAATAAATCTCTCATAGGCCCTTATTTGCTTTTTTTTCCAAGGGCTAAGTTTCATGACAATGTACCCAGGTTCTCCAAAGAATTTATCCACCATTTGTAAAATATTCTGAAAAACTGGGACAGCTTCTCTCTTCTATCTTTTTAATGGGTCTTTGGAAAAGTCATGACTCATATTTTCACAGAAAAACTACCTCATGACTTTTTTGACAACTCAATATTTTATTGTACCTACATTTTTGCCAAGGTCTTGGAGATATTATTTGCTTCTCTCCTGAATATATCTCTAGATAGAGCTTCTAACCTCTAGTGAAGCACGGATGTGAGCTAACTTAGGTATGTAGTTCTCCTACTGCCAGCAGGACCCCTCTGCCAGCACTTGGACAGTCTCTGATTTACAGATAATGTCTGTGATTGCTTTCCTCAAAGCCCGAGGTGTTTTGAAGGACTAAGAAGATGGAGGTCCATTTGTCATGCTTTATCTTGATCTTGCTGTAGAGGCTTGTCATAAAACTTGAGAAGGTCAGCACTCCTGCCCATGTTGGTCTTTTCCATGCCACCAAGTCTGGGAAAGAGCTCCACGGTTTGGAGTCACATTCCCAGTGTTCACTTCTATTCATTACTTCAAGGCTCTTTCACTTGGCATCTTGTTAACTCTGAAGCTTTTTAAATCTTCTCTTAGCAGAATAGCTTACTGAGTTCCACGTCAGTGTAAAGGTGTATATTTCGGTGTGAGTTACCCCTCTGAGTGCAGTAGCAGCACTGCTGAATTTTACTTTGAGAAATGGTGAAGGAAAGTGGTGCTGTCTACACAAAACTCAAGTGCTCAGTGTGGGGAAACTGGTGCCTATTCAATCATTGCTTCCTGAACAAAGGAATGAAAAATATCTTTTGAAAGGAGGAATCTTCTCATTACCATCCATCTCTTGCTCCTGAGGACAGTGATAACAAAACCATCCTAGATGGATTGACATGAGAAACAATTCTTGCTCATCACTATATAAAGAAGGACATTTTATACCTAAGGATGTTATATATTTATACATCCTATCTTAAAAACCAAACCAAACCAAAACAGAACAAAGCAAAAAGGCTCCCCACCCCTATGAAATAAACAGTGAGGTTGATCTTGGAGATAGCTATGACTCAAAATTTGGAAATAACTGTCTCACCCTTTCCCTAGCCAAGACCACCTTGAAATGACATAAAGCAAAAGATAAAGAAAGCTTATCATATGCAAACAAATTAGAAGGAAATCTTTTCCCCAAGAGAATCTGAATTTTGGAAGGAAAAGCAATTTCTCTATAGAAAGAATTACATTTATTGCTCAAAGGTATTGCAAAAGACAGACTCATCTTAATACACATTGAGATAGAATGAAATAAAATGTGAAAGTACCTGAAGGGCATCCTGATATTCAGTCTTTCTGCGTACTTGCACAGTGTGTCCCATGGAATGTGAACTTTAATAAACATGATATCAGGGTTTGCAATAGCTGGCTGCAAAGGATAGCAAGAGAGGCACCATTATGGAGAATCAGAACTAATAATTTCATGACCGCTTAGGATGAGGGAACATTTCCCACTGTCTATGCATGAATAATTGCCACTGATGTAAAGGGAATTACTATGAATAAAAAAATTCTCAATGGAGAAAATTATAAAATAAAATAAAATGACATGTTTAATATACATGTAATAATGCCATTGCATAAAATAAATAATCATAATCACCCATGTGAATTAGTGCATTTTCTTAAACTGATCATTAGCAAAATCCAGAATCCCCAATCGGATTCATCATGAGCCATTTACAATCTGAAGTTATTCTCGATGGACACTGTCATGTTTGAAATGGGTAGAACACACTGCCACTTGCCACCGGTCATTTAATCATTCATTTATTCTTTAACTATATTTTGTTCAGTAACTGTAAGATCTTTGAATCATTAGGTGTTTGTTAGGAGTCTTAGGCATGGACAGGGAGATACAGATCAGGGAAACAGCCAGGAAAGCAAAGGTTAAGGAGAGCCCCAAGAACCATTTACTTTGTAACCTTCCTTAAACTCAAAATAATTACCTGCTTCTTGAGGCTCAAGAGAGATTAAAAAAATGGGAAAACAAAGATAAAAAATTACAACCTAGAGGAGACCTTGTATTTTGAAAAAGGCAAGAGTCTAAAATAGGATAAAAATGATCACTCCTCTTCGGAGAAGGAGACTGGCCTGCTCGCCTCCCTTGGCACTGGCCCAGATACTCTATCTCTGTCTCTTTCCTTGTCCCTCAATTCTATGCTGAGATGGGAAAACACAGACTTCATATTTCTCACCCTAACAAAACTACTCGCTAAACTCTATGATAATCTTAGAAAACAATGGAATATAAACCATAGAAAGCCATGTGCTGTCGTGATTGCTTGCTTACTTTAACCTTTAGTTCACATTTACTTGTATCAACACTTAAGAATGTAAGTGTCTTTGATTTAGACAAGAGAATTTTCAAAGCAAAGTCAAGTATGTATCAGAATTAGTTAGGATTTTTTGTTTGTTTAGTTTTGCTACAGGGTGCATGAGCTCATTGGGAAGAGAAAGTGATAAATCACCACCCAGGGTGGATGGCCATGCCACAATCCTTTCTCCTCCATTCTTCTCTGTGGATATTGGGAATACATGCACGCACACACATACACACACGCATACATCGTATTTTTCAAGTCACTGGATCTGAAACTCGACCCACATAGTGAGCCGTGTGAGACCTAGATGCCTTAACTATGCCACCTGGCTGGCCCATCCACTAAGATCTTTACAAAATGAGATTTTCTGGTCTAATTCTTAGAGATGCCAGCATGAACTCTAGAGTTTCAATACTGTGATCATCCTCCTAGTGAGAGAATCAGATGACTCTGAACCAGATAAACTGCAAGATTCTGAGATGTTCCGTTAGTCTGAATAAGTAACTATGTCATTCACTACTTTAGCACTATATATTACTCATGTTCATAGTCTACCTTTTTATCTTATTTTTTATAAAATTCTAGACATTTTCTGAAGTACCTAGAGCATCCGAAACCAATAGACGAAGGAGCAATTCTAGACCATTCTAGCGTTGAACTCCCTACATCTTATCTGTCATGTGATTATAGGAGTTGAACATGTAAAAAGGAAGAACTAGTGTTTGCTTCCATTTAGACACATCCACCAGGTTAGACAGAGCTGAGCTCCATTTGGTGAACATTGTTCATTTCTCCTTTGTCAAGATGGAGCTTCTTAGGAAACATATGGATCTTAAGAGCTCAAAAGTGGGGAAGAAATGTATCAGTTTGATTTAAAATCATAAATGTTTTATATTAAGCTATAACATTTTTTAATTACAGAGCCTTATATTCTAAACATGGTTAGTTCTATGGATTGTCAGGACCATGTTTCTTTTGTATTATGCAGCAAGAGTATTAGTAGAGGTCTATGTTATTGAACTATGAAGTCAACAGGAAAGGCATGGCATATTTTCTATGCAAAAATGTGTCATAACTTTTCCGATGGCTCAATTATATTCAAACACAGAAGGAAGCCTGGACACCCTTTCCATTGGGCAGGCACTTTCTAGACAAGCATTTGCCAAAGTATGTCCCACAGAGGGTAATGGAAAAAGAGGCGGGATGGGAGGGCATTCCATGGCCAAGGGCATGTTAGATTTCTTACTGGAGGTCCTCTGAGTACTTGCTGAAAATATCTAAGACAAGTGATTAAGTAAATACACATTAACATGTGTGTACTTGCTGAAAAGATCTAAGCAAGCGATAAGGTATGCTGAAATTCCAGACTTTTGGATCATGGATTTTTTTTCTTCTTCCTGATAGCTTATTTAAGCACTGATAGTTTGCAAATTACTTTGGGAAGAATAGTAGAAGATACTTTTGCATCCCTATAATTTACAAAGAACTTTTCCTTCTTGGAATATGTTTATTTCACATTAAAGATAAAGGATTATGGAAATGAAAACTGACAATGGCAGAAGTAGAAGTAGTGTGACAGTTCAAATATCCCCCCTGAAAGTGCGTGTGTTGAGATTTGGTTGTGATGGGATTAGCAGGGTGAAGGCTTAATTTGACCATGGTGCAGAAAGATGGGGCCATTGTGGGGGGACTGGGATTAAAGCCTCAAGGGCAGGGCACCATAATCAGTGCCTCATGGGTTTATAAGGAGAGAGAACCAGAAAGAGACACAAGGACACCCATGTGGGCTCTCCTGCCCCTCTCTATATTGCGGTCTCTAGGACTTGAACCTTCAAAGTGTGAGCTGAGTAAGCATCTATTTTTGGAAATCACCAAATTTTAGGTATTTTAGGTATTTTCTGTTATTAGCAACAGAGCAGACTAGAACATACAGTATATGTCAAATATCCAGAGGCCTTTGAGTTCAGACCAAAGTGGCATGCATTACCTATGCTTGGGGAAAAATGTACTCAACTGTTTAAAATGATGCTGATTCATTCAAACAACTGTATGTTTAAAAATATCTTTATCACTCTGTTGGAAATCTGTTACTGAACAAGGAAAAGGACAACATTAGGATGGCGATATTTCCAGGTTCTTTTTAGTGAATGTTCAAGACTCCATGCAAAGGTTTCTGGAATTAGAAATCTTTTTAAAATGTAAAACTGCATAAGTAGTCATCTATTTAAATGACTCCTTCAGGACAAAGTGAAAAGTGTATTTCATGTTTTATTATAAATTTTACTGCTTTATCTATACAAAAGTTTTCATATTTAAAATGATTAGAAAGGCCCCTTCTTTTGAAATTATGGTGTTGGCTACTGGTGTTACACATGGTTGCCTTTCATCTACCAAACAAACTTAAATTTCTTCCATCGTGATTGCAAACTTAAAAGAAGTCACATGAAATGGTAGAAAAGCATTGTAAAATATGCAGATGGTATAATGGTTATGTCAGTGGACTCCCACATGGCTGACTATAGTTTGAGTCTTAAACCTGGAGGTTTGAAACTCATGTTAGGTGTGTATGCGTGCATGCCCAAAATCCTGAGAGAAGAATGGAGGAGAAGGGACATTCCCCCAGGGGGAGTGATTTCTCACTTTCTGTCTCTCTGCCCCTCTCTGTTTCTCTGGTGAGCACATGTGCCCTATGGCAAAATTCTCTCTCTAAAGAAAAAAAAAAAAAGGATAGAAAGAAGGAATGAATGAATGAAGGAAGATAGAAAAAGAAAGGAAAGAAGGAAGTGAGGGGGGGAGGAAGGAAGGATGTATGAACGGAGGGGCACTGTATTCAGTATCTCAAGATTTGGGCCAACCTATGGCATGTGGTTAAGGCAGTTGGATCCCACATGGCTGACTGTGCAGTTCAAGTCCTGTACCTGATGGCTTGAGAACACACCAGGCACATGCAGTGCATGCCCAAAATCCCCAAAAGGAGAGAGAGATGGAAGAGAAGAGATTGCAGTGAGGCCATCCCCAATCCCCATGAGTGTATGAGGAGTGCTTTCTCACTTTTGTCTCTCTGTGGTGAATGCATACACCCTCTGGAAAATTTTTTAAAAAATAGATAATTCATCAGGAATGGCAGATATTTAAGTACATGTTTTGTTTCTATCACTTACTAGCTCTGTGACTTGGAAAAATGACATCCCCCTCTTGTTGTCTGGTGAGTTTTCCCATCTGAGACATGAAGAGAATGAGCTCCACTCACAGAGCTCCATTTAATTCAGAGTGAAAGGCAACATTACTTCAAGGACCTACACAGCTTTTATAACCATCCTCTCAGCATCTTCAGAACCTCCTCTGTCCCAGCTCTCCCTCAGTCATTGCTACTACTTGCCCACCCCTACCCCACCTTTCTTACATCACTCGCTTCTTTTTCCCTACAGTACTTTTACCATCATTTGTTTCTGTACATGCCATCAGAGAAGACACTCTGTTTTGCTCACTAATGTATCGCAAGCACCTCATTCTGGGCTGGACACAAGGCGGGCACACACTAAGCATTTGTTGAATGGATGAATAAATTGACTTATTTTGAGTTAGTACACATTCTATGCAACATACACCTCAGCAAGAGATGAAGGATTCAAGAAAGCAAATAAGCCTCAACTGTTCTGGAGAGGGCACTATGTCAAGAATAAAATTAGCATCATGAACAACTTGCCTTGCGCTAGTTATTAATTCTTTACTGCCAACCTGCAGGATGTGAAATAATCTAATACACTTAAATAAAGAGAAAGCCTTAGAAGGATGTTTCTGCATTACAATGAGCACCATCACACAGTGAAATGTCAAGCTGAGTGCACACACAGCTAGCACAGTTCTCATTTCGTATTTCTTAACTAAATTATATACAGATCTTTTTTCAAGCAGTATGAACTGTCTTATTTTATGAGTTCTTCAACTTAATTTCCCTTTTGTTATACCCCTACTCAAAAAAAGGAAAAAGAATAGAGGTTGAATTTTCTTGCAGCTATGGGGCAGGGGGCTGGTGAAGGGATGGGGCTATTAGGTGAGAAAGAGCACAGTCTCCCTTGGAGTAAAAAGCTGCCCACCTGGCACTGTTCTGTTCAACTGTTGATTGCATGCTTCTCAGGGGGAACAAAACACCCACTACCTTCACACCGCACAGAGTGCTAATTATTCCACCTCAAATTCCAAAGTGGTAGAAGATCCACTCTCAAGAGGAGAGGAAACTTAAGAATGGTGCTTTAACAAAGGCACTCTGCAAACTGTTGGGAGCTGGTTGCTCACAGTTTTAAGACTAAGAGAAAGACTAACGGATAATATGATCTGGAAATTGACTCAGATATAAAGCACCTAACCGGACAGTTATAAAGTACTGATCTGTTCATTGATACAGCCTCCAAATACACATGGCTGACCTCTGATGCCGTGATCATCTAGGATCTAAATGTGATCTTCGCCAGTGTCAACTTAATGCATGTCTACACTGTGCGAGGCTCAATGCTTGACTCTGGTGAATGTAAATTTTATAAAATGGGGACTGTATCCTAACTCCATCTTTTAGCTAATGAATCAAATATTTGCTGATTTTCCACAAGTCATTTTCTCTTTCCTTTAGTTAAAAGTTCTAAATTTCAATTTAATATTAATTTTCTTAGTTGCCAGAGGGTGCCTTCATGAGAGAGCATGAGTGAGTGAGCACTCATCAATGGGGAGAGGCTACATCCTAATCCTTTCTTCTCCATTTCTCCATCCTGTTGGGATTAGGACCATGCACACATGCTCTGAGTGTTTTTCAAGTCACTATGGTCAAGATTCAAATCTTGGTGGGCCATGAGGGATCTTCCTCCCCTGATCACTAGGTTATAGGATCAGCCCAAGGATCAATCACCTCTTCTGTTCAAAGTCATTAATAGTCTCTTAGTTAAGCAAGTCTAAGTCAAAAAAAGTGTCACAAGATTTTTTTTTTTCTTCCTAGCACTTTCCCTTGCTTGGATACTCAGAATATTTTAGAAAGATTAGGATGAAACTTTGTGGTATTTCTAGGCTCTTTTCAGAGGGAAGATATAAAAGTCCCCCGATTCAGTTTTGAAATTAATAAGATGTATCCAGAGAACTGGGGTGTCCTTAAAGTTTCACACAGTGAGGAAAATAACCCATTTACCACATACGGTTAGGAGGCAAGAAGAAGGCAAGACTGGAAACTTGCCCTCAGCACAAGGGCTGCAGGCAGCATGGGGGACTGGCTCTAATTAGGTGCAGTTGGAGTTGAGCACAGGTCCTGACCCACCTGGCCTGGCCTTTTATTTAACTCTGGGGAACAATTCCTAAGAATGTGAATGTGAACTGAAAGACCTGCAATTGTTTAGCCCAGAATTAAGAAAAACCAGCTCTCTCCTAGGAATAATGGTAGACAAATGGACACTGTCCTGTCAAGGGCCAACCTAAACAAAAACGCCTTTTGGCAGTGATTGGAGAGTGAGAGTTGAGGAATGAAGAACTTCCTGTTAGGGCAGAACAAGACTCTTTAGAGGAGTAACATTCTTGAGAAAAATTTGGAGAAATAAAAGACAAGAAGATTCAGAAGAGAACCTGGATTTCCTGCCAAGAATACTAGGTAGAAGCTGTGAGCCATACCTAGTATAATACGTAATAATATATAGTTAGACACTTTTCACACCTGATTCTTGAGCAACGGAAAGTTCAGTGAAGGCAGGGTTGTAGACTACTTAACTCATCTAAGACACCGGGTTCCCCAGCAGCTTGCTTACTGCTTGCCAAAAATCATTTGTTGAATGAATAAATAGTTGGAGATTTGCAAGCAAAACCGCTACTCGTATTATAATGGAAGTGTACAAACTGCTTCAGGAGCAGAAGAGGAAGTGGTTGTGTTTGTGTGGAGAGTAATAAGAAAAACAAATGAATAAAAAAGACTGTTATGAAATAGAGTTCAGAGAGCCCCCCCCCCAACATATATGGTTTAATTATTTTCTGGGTTAAATTTATCAGAAGCAGCATAGAAAAATACAACTAAAGAAGTTGAAAAAATCTGATATCAGGGGACCAGCAGTTACTGTAATGGCTATGTCGCTGGACTCCCAGGTAGTCGACCACGGTTCAAGTCTTGGATCCGGTGGCTTAAACTCATGCTAGGCACGTATGAGTGCGTGCCCAAGATCCTGAGAGGAGAATGGAGGAGAAGGGATTGTGGCATGGCCATCTCCCCTGGGGGGTGATTTCTCGCTTTCTGTCTGTCTGTCTCTCTCTCTGTGTGTATTTCTAGTGAGCGCACATGCCCTATAGCAAAAACCTCTCAAAAAAAAAAAAAAATCTGACATCAGGGTCAGTGGGTGGCATGGAGTTAAGACAGGTGGATCCCTGATGGTCAATGTGTGGTTTACGTATTGGATCTAGTGGCTTGAAAAACACACCAGGCAGGTATGTGTGCGTACCCAAAATCCCAAAAGAAGGAAGAAGTGGAAGAGAAGGGACAGCCGTGTGAGGATGCTTTTTCACTTTCCCCTCTTTCTCTCTCTCCTTTTCTCTCTTTGTCATTGGCAAGCGCATATGCCCTCTAGCAAATGATTACTCAAGAAAAAAGGAAAGAAAAAAATGACTCAAGTTAAAATCTCCCTTGTCCTGCTCTGTAACACGGGCAGTGTGTGACTAATTCCTCTCTCATGGCATTATATATGTTAAGTACTTTCTTACTTTATATGTTAACAGGAGTTTTAATAAATGAATGTCCAGTTATAGGAGGGAACTTTATAAAGTCTAGAAAAATAAAGTTAAAGTATGAGTTTATTTTGGTGCAAAAAATTTTAAATCCATGCATACTTTATGCATAATGCAAGTGCTTGTGAACATTTTATATACTGCTCATCTTTCCTGATATATGGCAGACAGTCCTCAAAAGAAATCCCAGATGTTTTGTAAAAAAAAAAAAAATAAAAAAGGAGAGGGTTCCAATGTTATATCTAAGTGGCTATACCACTCTGATAAAGTTTACTAGCAAATTATCTAAGATATTTAATCAAAGAAACAGGGTTTATTACCTAGTTTTCATTTTTCCATTTTCTTTCTTTCTTTTCTTTCCTTTTTTTTTCTTTTCTTTTTTCCTTCCTTCCTTCCTTCCTTCCTTCCTTCCTTCCTTCCTTCCTTCCTTCCTTTCTTCCAAAACTAGTTAAAGCCCAGTGGAGATAATTTGGGCATCTGTCTGACGATTAACTACAAATCTTCTCTCAGTAGAGGAGGGCTAACTAACTCCCAGGAGGCAATGCTATGCCCCAGCAGAGAGTTGAGTTGGTTCTAAGCACAATGGCAACTGGGATACCCGTAATACACTGTTGAATGACAGCTGAGCAGAATAGCATGATTATAACATACAACATGGTAGTGAAAAAAATTACATATGTTAGTATATAAATAGAAGACATGTTGAAGAGCATGTAAGAACCTAAATTATTATTGTTTTGAGATATTTTTGCCTTAGGGTGCGTGCACTTGCCAGATAGAGAGAGAGAGAGAGAGAAAGAGAGAGAGAGAGAGAGACAGAGAGAGGATGACCATGCTGCAATCCCTTTTCCTTCATTCTCCTCTTGGGATTCTGGGCACACATGCACACGTGCCTGGCATGAGTTTCAAGCTGTCAAGTTCAGGACTCAAACCGTGGCATGAGTGTAGGAGTCCAGCAACATAATCGCTCTGCCATCTCTGGCTCTGAAACTTAAATTTAATCTATTAACAAGGCCACCAAGAATGTGATTTGGGAGATGGTTTTATTTTGTATATATACATACTTCTAATTATTTACACTGAGGTTTTTGTCTTTATGTACTGTGATAAATATATGTATTTTAAAAGTTTTGCCATAGGGAGCATGCACTTGTTGGAGAGACACACAGAGAGAGACAGTAAGAGGGAAAGTGAGAAATCACCCCTCCCCAGGGGTATGGCCATACTGTAATCCCTTCTCCTCCACTCTCCTCTTGGGATCTTGAGCAAACATGGGTTCCAGAACTTGCATGGGGTTTGGCCCTACTCACCACCTTCTCACTTCTAAATATGCATTTTTTTTTTCTTTTTGAATCCTAAAATACTGAACTAAAATACCATGAATGGTTGTTTTAGATAAGGGGACAATAAAAGATATGCTTTCCCCTCCCTCCTAGATTTAGTTTTTTTTCCAGTAAGCCTTGGTACTTCTATTGTTTGACTGGAATAAACAAATACTCTAAGGAACTTTTTTTTCCTTTTTTTTTTTAAGGCACAAAGAGAAGAAGGATTGGAAAGAAAACCACTCAGAGCTCCAGCATTAAAACAGACATTAACAGTTTTGTAAACACTCCTATTTCAACATTTTCTTTCTCTTTTTATAGGGTTTTCCATTTTACATAGGTATAATCATTTCCTTTTCAGTTTTTAAAGTAAAAATAGCCATGCCCTTTGAAAAATATTTAAATTGTACAGAAATGTATAAAGAGTGAATAGATATTTAAATAGAACTATACATATGTATTATTTTACATTTGGAAGAAAGTAAGTATAGATTTTATAGAGTCATGTGGTGTAGACATTCCATACTGAAATGTAAGTGGTTGTACCGGTTCTGGCATATGATACCGAATAATCAATGACTGTAAAGCACTTACCTCCTTCTCCAACATTAGGCCTTCTGCTCTGAGGTTCTTTTCAAATGTGTTTCTTTTGTCATATTGTATATTTGTCTTTCGATAAACCAGGATATAATCAATTCTCTTTTTGCCATCTTTGAATAGAAGTCCACTGGATGCTATGTAATTCATGTCATTCTGGAAATAAACCAATGACTGTTAATGCAGGTTGGATGTGCACAAACCTTTTGGTTACAGTTACTTCTGTTTGGATCCCAGCAAACCAATATTTAAAAATACATTTTTTATATTCCTACTGTGAAATATCAAAAGACAATGAACGTTTGCATGTCAGAAACTAACGAATGGTTTTCTAGGATTTGAAATGAGGCAGTCCAATTCCTAAACCTGTGTTCTGTAAGCTGGCATTAAAACGTATGTGTTTTATTCAATAAGATCGTATAAAAATTCTATCAGCTAGAATATGCTGAGTATGTACTAAGCACCATGCACGGACATAAGTGCTTTCTATACTTTATTTACTGCACACAACTTGGCATTTCAAAGATAAAGCATTAAGGCTTAATGAAGGTAAGTCCTGAATCGAAACTAACATAATTTCTGTGTTAGATAACAGACAAGGCATTACGTTCCTCCTGTGTGTTCATCACTACTACAACCACACAGGAATTCCTGAGCTGCTCGCTTCAGGAAACACTAGCTCTACAGATATAAGACTGACCGAACTAGAACGGCTTACCCATCAGACAAATAGCTTTCTCACCAAGACTGCTTCACAGCCTTTGCTTTACTATACTCTCCAGGCCAAGCAATTTGTCACAGACTCTGTCCAACTTTGAATCAAATTCCTGTCTTAAAATTACCTGCACAGGTCCTACCACCCATTGAAAACTCTTCCCTAACTTCACCTTTTTGAAACCCTACTAAGATTATTCAGATGGCATCTTACTTGTTGAGAAAATCAGTTTTCCTGATTAACATATTTTCCTCCTGGTCTTATTAGAGAGGGCTTTACCAGTACAATGTTCAAGATCTCTGAAGAATCAGAGATGATAACATTTTGTCTGACTCCAAGTTCCACATAGTTAGCCATGACCTACCTTGTCCACCTTTCTCTACTTTCCATAAAAGTATCTGAGCATTGTGCCCACTCTCTATTCCTTGTTTCTCATACTGGCATGCTTGAGCCTCTGACCTTTCTACCATATGGAGAGCCATCAGGAAATTTTGGTCAAAAGCATCTCAGACTGTGTTGGAGGAGTCTGACTGGGACATACATGCTGGTCCAGATGGAAGCGGTGAGGACAGGAGTTATTAGGAGTCAAGGGGACAAAGAGCAAGAACTGACTCAAGTGAAGCAACAGAATAGATGGCTGAGAAACTGCCACTCAACAGGGACAGCTTAGGTGGCCTGCGTGCCCTTGGGTGGTCTCTGATTTTGCAGAGAAAATACATTCATGTGTATGCATTCAGAGTACCTGGGACTCCCAGCTTCAAAGACAAGAAGGGTCTTCATAGCCTCTTCAATGTATGGAAAAGTTTTGAGATTTCAAGGATTATCATACAGAGTACCATGGAGTGACTAAATAACACCACCAGAACCACCAGAGCCTTGCAGTTGTGTAATAGTAATAATGAAGTGATAGCTATCACTAATTGCATGCGTACTATGTGCCAAGCTGTGCCAAGTGCTTCATAACTTATTCAACCATCATAACCCATCAAGGTAGCTATTGACATGAGTACACAGAACCCAGAGAGACTCAGTAACATCTAGTTGTCATAGAAAAGGTAATACTCTGACCAGCAGTTGGTGTAATGACTATGTCACTGGACTCTCATATAGTCAACCATGGTTCGAATCCCAGTGGCTTAAACTCATGCAGGGCACATGTACATGCATGCCCAAGATCCCAAGAGGAGAATGGAAGAGAAGAGATCACGGCGTGGCCATCCTCCCTGTGGGGGAGGGTGATTTCTCGCTTTCTGTCTCTCTGTCTGGCGAGCGCACGCGCCCTATAGCAAAAACCTCTCCAAAAAAAAAAAAAAAAAAGAAGAAGAAGAGGCAAAGGTAACACCGGTGCCAGGTGCCAGAATGCCAGAATTTCTTCTACTTGATCTCTTATCTGTGGTCTTGACCATTATATGAAAAAAAGGGAAAGGCAGGGGACCAGCAGTTAGCGTAATGGCTATGTCGCTGGACTCTCACGTAGTCGACTGCGGTTCGCGTCCCAGACCCAGTGGCTTAAAACTCACGCCGGGCGCCTGTGCGTGCATGCCCAGGATCCCGAGAGGAGAATAGAGAAGGGATTGCGGCGTGGCCATCCCCCCTGGGGGGTGATTTCTCGCTTTCTGTCTCTCTGTCTGGCGAGCGCACGCGCCCTATAGCAAAAACCTCTCCAAAAAAAAAAAAAAAAAGAGAGAGAGAGAGAGAGAAAGGCAAATAAAAGCAGACATTCCGAGGAGTGGACTTGAACTGTTACAGAACATACCAGAAAGGGCCATTTTCAGCTGTGTCTGCTGATTTGATTATTGCAAGAGCCTGACTCATTTCTCTGCCTCTCTGCAGGTTGTTCTCAGTGTGACAGCTGAGGTAGTGAGTAGTCCTTCGTACCATGGATTAGGTCATGGGATCCCTCTCCCAAAGACCTTCCAATTGCTCTCTATATTCCTCACTCTGGATCCCATTTTCCTTAATCAATATATTTCTTAATGCCTGTGAACTTCTAACATACTAGATAAGCACGAAATTTTTTCTTATCTTTTCTCTACTGTCTTTTTCTGCTAGAATATACATTCTGTGGCGAAAGGATGTGTTCACTGTTTTGTTTACAGATAATTACAAATATCTAACCCATGGCCAGATACATAAAGGATGTTAATAAGTATTTGTTGGAATAAGAACAATAAAAAAGGTGGTGGGGGGAGGAAGCAAGAGGAAGACAATCTCTAGTGCTGAGTAACCTGGTACGGCTAACCTCAAGAATATAAAGCCAAGGAAAAATTGTGTGGCTACTGCTCATCCACTCCCCTCCAATATTTATAACAGGACGGATTATGACACCTCAAATGAAGAATTACACAACTGAAACAGCATTGCAATATTGGCCCTTCTACTTTGTATCTGCTACCTACAGCTTCTAGGCATCTCCCCGTCATTCCAAACAGGGACTGGGCAAATGAAATAATACACAAATTTTCCTCTGCATTTTCTTTTATTTGCAATATACCATCCTCTCCAATTGAGTATAAACTATCTGTTAAGTCTTACACTTGTAGTTCTAATAACATATTTAATCCAGGTGAGGACAAGACATCACTCAAGGAGAAAATCTAGCAATCAAGTGATTGGCTGGCAGGAAAATCACTAGAAGAAAATAATTTTTAAAAAGATTTTACATGCATTTTATATTTTAAAAGCAGCTCAGTTGGATGGTGGAATCCAGATGGTTATTTTTATTTAATAGTCTAATACCAAGCAAAATACATACTATCATCTCCCAAGCTGCCTTACTACTTAAAAATAGAAGACATCTTTTTGACAATAAGAAAACTTAGATATTATAGCAAGTTTTGTCTTTTCCTTTGAGTAGACATGTTAACAAATTCTGTTAAATGGTATTCTAACGTATCATCTAACTATTCAATCAATTCTACATTATTAATGAGGAGTTTTACCAGGCACAAGATAATGTAGAAGTCAAAATGGCACTAGAGAATCATGTTAAGACATGAAAATCTTTTCTGAATTATGTATTCAGAACTCAGTATAGGTTCTAGACTATTTGAAGAGTGAGAATATAATATTTTGTTTGAATATGTGACAACCATTAAGCAAGGTGTTAATTAACCCACGTTGAAACTTGTTACTTAAAGTCAGAATTGAAAAAAAAAAAAAAAAGGCATGACATACAGCATTACACCTAGACACAAAAAGTGCCATTTCATCAGTTGATATAACAGTTGATAAACATGAAATCAGGACTCCTTTCTCAAATGACCTGAACACTAAAGTGCTTTCTGATCACACTGTAGAATGCATTCAATTTGGAAACAGTTTTTTTCATATTTTTTGTTTCCAGGAGACATCACGAAGCTCAGATACTTTTAGAAAATCTGCTCTTTCTAGAGACTACCTCAAGACTATGGAAGTATGGCTCATCTTGAATCCTTTGCAAAGATTTTAACTTATCTGCAAAATACCAGTAGAGACCTTCCCAGTTGCATGAGAATGTGTTTTAGAATATATATTTTTAAATAATTATTTATTAAATTTTATGTATTAATTCATTTATTTAAATTTGACCAGAGAGAGACAGAGAGCGAGAGAGAGAGGCAAAGTGAGAAAGCAAGCCACCAGGTCTGGGACTTGAACCATGGTCAGCCATATGGGAGTGTTCAGCACCTTAACTACCATGCCACCTACTGGTTCCTAGATTTTTTTTTTTTTTTACATTCAATCACTGTATATCATTACAGCATATCAAATGAATTTTCTCATCTTGAATACACTGTATAGGGTTCCAAAGATATTACCATATATATTATTATCATCAACAGATAATTTTCTATGTTTGTGTCCCTTAAATGCTTTGCTTCTTTCTTTTTTCCTTGATTCTTGCCGTCTCAGCCTCCTCCATTTCTCTAGCCTCCTATACTGTCTCTAGTATCTACAGTTGCTATATAGGCCTATATAACTTCCAGTCTTTCAGTTAATGATGACAGTAACTACTTGTTTTGATGAGATTTTATTTTTGTCTTGGTTGTTTATTCTTTTCAATCTAATAAGCATTTATCAAATATACAACGTGTGCTGGATTCTGTGCTGAAGTCTAGGGCTAAAAGCTAAGAAGGCATCAAATACGTTCAGGGATTTCAGCATATACCCAAGGAGGGGGGCAGTCCCGTAAAGATGTAGTTCCAATGCCATAGCTATTGTGTGCAGTCATAGAGGCAGAGCTACAAAGAGTGGAGGGATGTTGAGTTGGAGCCAGAGGAAGCCTGACTAATGGGTGCCCATGGCCACCACGAATCATGTTATCTTGGTGAATTTACTAGAGCATGTCCCCGTCTGGCACAAAATTAGATCATTTAATTAATCTGTAAGTAATGGCTGATTGATTATCTGCTAACCACACTTTTGAGTTAATAGGATGCAGTATGACATAGTGATTCAG